CTGATATCCTGGATATATTTATCACCTCCCAGATTTCCTCCTTCCAAACTATAATCAAATCGCTGGATGACCTTTCTTCAGACCATAGCCCAGTTCTGCTTTCACTACATTCTGACTTTGCTCCTAAACCATCACCTCCCAAACTGATCACTGGACGAGTAAACTGGGATAAATTTCGTGATGATTCGGAAAACAAACTAGACCTCAAAATTCCGCTAAAGACAAAAGAAGACATTAATGGTGCCATAGAAAAACTGACATCATCAATAACAGACAGTATAAATAATAACACCTTTATCAATAAGATTAACAACACACAAAATACTAACTTGCCACAGCATATTCGTATCTTATTAAAGGAAAAATGCAGAGCAAGATCGAAGTGGCATCGAACTAGATACCCAACAGATAAAGCACATTACACCCAACTGACTAACAAACTGAAATAAGAAATTAGAAAATACAAAATTCAAAATTTACTAAATTTGACTGAAAAACTTACACCTACCGATAAATCACTATGGACGACCACTAAAAGGCTCCTGAAATTTAAAGACTGCAACCATCCACTACTCACTGAAGCCCAAACCTGGTCCAAAGCCGACAAAGAAAAATCCCAAATATTTGCTCACCACCTCTTTAAAACCTTTAATCCACATCCCGATATTCTTAACCCAAATCACCTTGAATGTATTGAAGCAGAACTGGATATACCACTCCAAATGTCTCGGAAAGCCATTCTATTCCTTACTTATATATATAATGCTGTACTTCGATCCACATATTTTCCCGACCCTTGGAAACTATCCATTATCAAAATGATACATAAACCCAAAAAACCACCAGAATAGCCATCCTCTTACCGTCCTATCTCTCTTTTACCCATCATGGGCAAAGTCCTGTAAAAACTCATCCTAAAACGCCTGTACCCAATCCTAGATTCTAATCACATAATCCCAGATCACCAGTTTGGATTCCGCAGATCCCATTCCACTATCCAGCAATGCCATCGTGTGGTGGATGTTGTCTCCTCTGCATTAGAGCGCGGAATGTACTGCACGGGAGTCTTTCTCGATGTGGAACAGGCTTTTGATCGAGTCTGGCACCCGGGACTACTTTACAAACTCCGTAAATTCCTACATCCTACATACTTCCTCATTATCCGTTCCTATCTAACTGATAGATATTCAAAAGTCAATCACAATAATGCCTATTCATCCCTCTTTTCCCAGTCCGCTGGTGTTCCTCAAGGTAGTATCCTTGGTCCTATCCTTTACACAGTTTATACAGCTGACATCCCAACCCATCCTAACACTGTTATTACCACGTATGCCGATGATACATGTGTCCTATCCGTTAATAATGACCCAACCATTGCATCCCAAACTCTTCAATCACACATCACAAGCCTTGTAGAATGGTGTCAAAACTGGAGGATTAAAATAAACTCCAATAAATCCCACCAAATTACCTTTACCCTTCGACGTAAACCTATGACCTCATGTCCCACAGTATCCTTTAATAATACCCCACTTATCCCTGTTGAACAAATCCGATACCTTGGACTTCACTTGGACAAACGTCCAACTTGGAATCCTCATACCAGACTGAAACGACAAGAAACCGCTCGATGTTTCCGACTACTCCAACACTTACTAGACAAACCCTCTAAGCTTCCAGTTAATTACAAAAGACTTATATAGATGACTACAATAAGACCTGTTTGGACTTACGGAGTTGAGCTTTGGGGCTCCACTAAGCCATCGAATTCCTCTCGTATCCAATCCTTACAATCCAAAATCCTTCAAAAAATCCTCAATGCTCCTTACTTTGTCACCAATAAAATAATCCATAATGACCTTAATGTTCCTTATGTTTCCGATTTGGCCCAATCCAGATACCAATCCTTCCATAATAAACTTCAGAACCATCTGAATCCTCTTGTCTCTAACCTTGCTTCCTCTTCTATTCCTGATAACCCTCCGAGGCGTCTGAAAAGAAGATGGCCTCGAGATCTCTTATTTTAAATACATTTTGTTTTTAGAGTGCTACCAGTGGGTGGTTTCTCAACAAGTTATTTCATGTTATTATTTTCTGTTATCAAATTTACTTAATGTATTTAATTTTTTAATACAGTTGTAAATATCATGAATAAATAAAAAAAATAAAATAAAAAAAATTAATGTAGCTTGCTCGGGATAGAGGTGAGCGGCGAAGGATCATATGAGAGGCCCAGGTGCTTACAGGACCGTAGCACCAAGAATAAATAAATGAGAGGATGGGAGAAGGGATTCTGGCTCCAGTGGGTAAAACCCAGTGATAGTATTACCATCTTGGAAGTTGTTGTTTGGAATCACAAGAGAGAGGATCTCCCAGGGAGCTTGAGAAGAGTAGAATAAAGTGTCACCATTTTGGAAGATGTGTTTGGCAAAACATAAGAAAATTTTAGAAAACAAATGAATTTAGTGCAACAAAGGAAGAAACAGTATATATAGAAAAAAAGTTAGATTGTCAATCCATACTTGACTTTATTTTAAAATCAAACAACGTTTAGTGCAGTTAATATTAGTTTGCTTGAGTGTTTTGATCTGATTGCCAGTAACCCACACCTGAGATAAAAAAAATATAAATACTCTTTTGATTTTGTTTATTATTTAATAACCTCTTATTTATTTAGGAAGTATCCCAATAGTATTTAAGTGATCTTCCGAGGTTATATTAATATTATAATTTGTAAAAATAAGAGAAATATTATATTTTGGCGCTGAACTATGCGTGGCCTTATTCTTTAAAAATTAGGTCACAGTAATCAGATCACAACTCACATAAACAATTTGTTTTAATTGTATAGCTTTTTATTAATAATTTTTGAGTAATATGGAGAATAAACAGAGAGAGAGATGATAGAAGGTAGAGATCTTAATAATATAATGCTTGCGAAATCTAATGGGTATGTTGTTATTTTAGAAAATAAGGCAATCAGTTGTACAAAGCCTACTTGATGAAAATAGACAATGTGAAAACTTTGTCCGAGGTTATATAAAAACTGTAATAAAACCAAGGTTATATTACGAGTTTAAAAATATAAGAGATATGATACAATATTGTTTAATTTTTATTAATCTAATTTTTGACCAAATATGGTTTTTGTTTTTATTCATAATTGTTATTATTAAGGGACTAAGTTTATACCCAGAATAAAGTTTATTCTCTATCTATCTATTTATATTCTCCAGCCCTTGGGGATTCTCATTCTGTAATATACTTCCTTTAAGATCTTATGAAGGGCTTTAAGGAGTTCTTATCCACCATATTTCAAACATTCTGGAGAATTCTATTTTTGAGTAATTTGAATTTCTAAAGTCATACAAAATGGCAGAATGACTCATATTTCCTCTGATAGAAATACTTCCTTCAGCAAATCTTTCACCATTTATGCTGCCTCTTTATGGAATCCTTTATTTATTAAATACTATTCTATTCTATTCATCAACCTTCTTCAATGTTTTCTTTTTAGCAATACTTATTTCTAAACCTAGCACATATTTGAATTATCATATAACGGTAAAAAATATGCATTTATGTAAATATTTAAGCAGACAAGTGTTCATAAAATCTGAGCAATGTATATTTATAGTGGACTGTTGTCCCAGAATAAAATTATTTTTGGTGGAAATATTGCTGACCATAGATGAATTTTAGGAGAAGTTGGTTAAGAGGTGCACTCATTGGTGAAATTGACATATTGACTTGTAAGGATCTTATACAAGATTCTCTGATTAAGGCCAAAAAACTTAGACAAATGTAGAACACAATAAAATGAGGTTTCTTGTTTGTGTTCCATTTCATCAATAACTGCACCTTTTCTCTAACCGACTTCTACAAATTATAAAGCTTAGAGAAATACCAAGTATCCAATATCCTTAACAGTTTAATCAATGTGATCCTTTCAAATCCAGTTTCTAGCCCGGCTACTCTATGCAATCCTCCCAAATCAAAATTACCACTGATATTCAGGCTGTAATAACAAGGTTTTTATTTAGTAAAAGGGTTTACGTTTTTGTACTGATATATAAATGTAACGAAACATAAAGTATGATCATTTTTAAAATTACCACAAAAGTTGTCAGAGCAAAGCATGGCTGTAACACTTTTCTGAAAATATATGACATCTCTGATTGCCATCATTACATTTATTTGTAATATCTTAAAAGAACATGAATTATAACATAGTTGTTTATAAATTCCAGCACTATTTCATATAATAAAGTAAAATGTAAAGGTTGTGGAGGTACATAATTTAATAAAGGATTATACAATAATATAAATTATCAGTCCTCAAAGATTTCATGAAGAAAACCAGGAAGTTCATAATAGAGGAATCTACTTGGTTTATTTTGCAATAGAAAAATGACCAATAAGACCTCTCTTATTCTGCGAGGGAAAACTTTTTCATACACCAATATTTCATACCAGTACAGTTAATGATAATCAGTTGATTAATGGTCAGTTATCAAGACGATAACTACAGAGAAAAATATGAGAGAATTATCAAACTCTGAACATTAAGAAGAAAGGTAGATATTTAATTATTTACATTATCTAGTATAGTAGGGAGCAGGGTAGCTCAGTGGTAGGGCATTAAGCTTACAGTGTTCAAGGTCCCGGGTTCGAATCGCTGCTCATGGCAGAAAAATTATTTATTCTGTTTCATTGGCTGTGGGGCGACCCTGGGGTAGTGAGACCCTCCTGGGGCACACCCGGCCTCTATAAAGTGGGTACCCTTAATTAAATAATTGATTAAGCGGACAAACCAGGCGGTTGAGCGTGATACTGGCCTGATCACCTCCCTGCGCAACAGTAGGCCTTGAAACAGAACTTTTCCTAAATAGTAATGAACCCAAGGCTCCCCCATGGGTTGTAGTGGTACAGGTTTTTTTTTTTTTTAGTATAATCAAAATTCTTTGAGATTTATTACTATTGATAAAATTTAAAACAAATTACCTAGAAGATATAGATCTTCTTTCTTCTTGCAGTCGCCTATAATCTGCTTCAATTTGCTTTCGAAATAATTCTTCTGCACGAAGCCTTTGCCGCTGGATACTCAGTTGTGTTTGTAAAGTTTCTACTTGACATTCACACGCTTGTAACCTCTCCCTATAATTAAATTTCACAACTTTGTAAAATGTAATGCATAGATTTATATGTCAGAAAATTTAATAATGAATCAATGAATGAATAATAAATGAACATCCAATATAATTATAAGGTTAGCAAGTACACAAATTTTTCACAATATTTGGAAAATAGCTATGAAAATTTGTTGAAAAGAGAATGGAAGATATTAAGTCGAAAAACTACACTTTCTTGAACAAAATGGCCATTGAGAAAGGCTGAGGAAGAGTAAAGGTTGTTTATCTAGCCATTGTAGATTAAAAGTGGATTTTGATTGACTTTCGTATCAAGAAAATTGGTTGATACTGGAGAATAAAATAATTACCTCGTACTTCATAAGTGTAATGAAATCAGTGTTTCAAGAGTCAAAAATAATGAAAGAGTCAATGAAACTCTCATTCATTAATATTCTAAAAGAGGGAAAATGGTGTAGACAAACTGATTAATGTATTTGAAAGTACCTAAGTAAAATAATAAGACCTTTGGAAAAATGGCTGACTGGAATATGATAATCCTTACTGGTGTAGTATTTCATTTAAGGTGATAACATTATCCAATTTGCAGACTTCTGTCATCAATTACAAATAACTGTGGATGAATGGATCGAGGAACTAAAGAGGAGAGGAAAGACCATCAATCTATCCTAGTACAATGATTTTGTATGCAATTAAGAATAAATGAACAACTTCAGTTATAACTGATCATAATCAATTACTAACTTAAATAACTATTCATTTAATATCATAATCATATTCTTTTCTTCTCAAATACTACTATGCAGTGTGAGGTTGCTGTAAGTAGAGTTTGGACAAGTCAAGTCAATCTTTCTCTAGTTCTCTTTTCCTGTTTGTTTTTTTAACACTTCTCAGTTACCATTTTCCCAGGAGATGTCAGGTCTTGCCCTCTGTCTCATTCCCTCCACACAGGTCTCATAGGTCTTCCTGGCAATTTCATTTAAAGGAGGTGTCTGGAATATCTTGGCTTGAGCTACTCCACAATTGTCTTGGCTTGTTCAACTTTGAGGATGGCCTATATAGTGGCACTTCAGATTCCATCTCATAAGGCCATCCCTTCCCTTTGTGAAGGTAGGACATCTCCTTTGATTGAATTCCAATTTCTGTGTATCAAGGAGGATGTACACGATTTGGAAGAGTGAAAGAGAATATGTAGAAACATCAAATTATAAATGGCCATTTTGGTATACTGCCAAGAAAACACCTCTGGAACAAACAGATAATTTTATTTATTTGGTTAATGTTTTCATCAATACAACAATTTCATTAAGATGAGCACCTATAAATGTGACATTATCAACCTGCTATAATCTTTTTCACCTCATGTTTATACTCATAATTCTTCGGCTTTTCCCCCCTATTCCTCCTATCATTATGTATTCTCCAGGTCAATACGATATATTGAAGTTAGTTCTTCATGAAAGACCTTTAAATTGTATTGGAGGACCCTTTCATTAGCAGCAAGCAATTAACATACATCAGCGAATGCTAATAAGGAGAATTTTATGGGTTTCTATATCTTAACTGGAACTGTCTCATTCTTAGGTAAATTCTTCTTAGTCCCAGATCTAAAAGCAGACCTAAATTACAAACGAGAGGACCACCTAATATCTTAAATACTGGTGGTTATGTGGTTCCTGGTTCTAATCACATTTCTGCTCTTATAGAGATTCATTACAGCCAAGGTAGTCAATGTAGTTCTCAATTTTTTTTCTATAGCCTTTTGGAAGTCCAAAAAGCAGATAGAGAACTCTTTACGCTTTGTAACATCTCTCTTTCCAAAATTAAATCAAGTCTCTTTGACCATCTAACTTCTCCAAGAAGCAACATCTACTGACCTTATCAATATACTTACTTTATTAGTAATTTTTATTTTCAAGTATAAACAGAAGTAATTTTAAGGTAACCACAGATTAGCTGCTGTTATTGTTTTGTTTTTCACATTATTTTTTAAATTTACATTGTTCTGGTAAGAGGATAAATAAAAATATTTTAACCTTAAAGAGCTATATATAACAAGCCAAGACTAATGGAAAGTTCAGTTTTAAAATATTATGCTGAAACATTGTAGTGTCTTTTTTTTTTCATTAAACAATGTGGTTGTTTATCAATGTAAATCATTGAAATATATATTTATTAATTTTTCAGTCCACTACATGTATTTAAATAACTATTAACTAATATCAAATCTTAGAGACAAAATGTTTAATAAATTCGTACTTTCCTTAAAAATTAATAAAGGCAGTGAATGATGTGAAATAAAAGTTGAAATATTTCATTTTGCCTTTTTTTTACATGTGGCATAAATTGTATCAAAACAACCCACTGAATTGGGGCTGCATTACAAAAAAAGATTGTTTTCTCTTATTAAGTAAGCTCAAAAACAAAACTCATCCATTTATATCATAGTGTACATTGTTTTATTTTTTGTTTATGGCCTGTAAATTCAAATTAATATTTACTCTCATGTAATAAAACTATTCAAAAGGAACAGAAGAAAAATATGTTTATTCCATTTTTTAAAAATGAAGCAAAATTTCTTGTCGAAACAACTGTGAGAAATTTTTACCCTTCAACAAAAATCGATTGATTATGGACAATTTCTTTTTCGAAGTTTGAAGTTTAAGAGGGAAATCGAGGCCTTGATGACCACCAAAGTTAAATTTGAAAAGACAAAAAAAAAAAAAAAAATAGTCAAACACTGGTACTATGTTATTTTTCACAATCTATAAGCAAAAATTAATTTAAATTTTCAATACTGTAATTAAAAATAATAAAGAACGTATGTTTAAAACAAATTTGTGTTTTTTCCATTATAAACATAATATCCCTATTTATACAAGTCCAGCATCCATGAATTCGAGAATCTCATGAATGTTTAGAAATTACTGTAGGTACGAAGTTGGATTTTGGAGAGTTATATGGTTAATCATTTTGTTCTCAAGATGGAGAAGATAAACAGATGCTGTGATTATCAAGAGGGAAAGGTTGGATAAGAGAGATGGCTGATGACTAGTATTAGTCCACCAGCAGTGGTATGATAATGTAGAATTTTCACATGGCATCAAGTAAGGAGTCCCAACTGTTGAAGGATCAGACTATATTTCATTTTGGAATAAAAAGTATATAAGAAAAATTTTTGTGACTTTTCAGAATTGGAATTTTTTGACAGAGAGCAATTCAAACATTTTTAGAACGTGATTATGTCACTAAGGGAGCCACATTGTACAAAATTGTAAATAAGACTCCTGAGATGTTTAAGCTTTTCAGTCCCAAGAGGAGTCAATTAATTGATTTATAATAATAAATAAAACTAGTAACACTACAACCCATGAAGGGTCTTGGGTTAAGTGGAAGAAGAAGTACTGTTACAAGGCCAACGATTGTGCAGGGAGGTGATCATACCAAGATCACGCTCCACCACCAGATTTTTCCCCTTACTTAATTAAGAATACACACTTTATAGAGGCTGGGTATGCCCCAGGAGGGTCTCCCTACCCCCGGATCAATCCACCACTGATGAAAAATTACTAATCATCAGTTAGATTTGAACCTGGGACCTTGAGCTCTGGAAGTCAGTGTCCACCCACTGAGCTACTCCACTCCTCAATTTATAATAATATAAAAATAATGATATGATGATAATATGTTATGCACATATTTATTTTAGTGAGTTGATCATTTATCAAGCAGAAGATAAGATCATCTGTCTCTTATTTTTGGGAAATATTCTTTACCATCATTTTGGCAATATTGTCTATTGTTTTTTTATTTTATATGTAAAGAAAAATTGCTTAACTTCTTTTGTAAGTCCTAGTATGTTTTTTCAGCAATCTCCTCATTTGGAGGATGATATGCTGTGAGGAATGGTTTGGAGCATTGTGGATAGGTTCATTACAGGAGATGAGCTTTGGTTCTATGAATTTGATATTGGACTCAAATAAAATGCAGGAAATGGGAGCAAGCTAGGGAGTGGAGGACGAAAATTTGAGGAAATTCAAGTTGAATGTCAAGACAATGTAGACTATTTTTTCCAGTTCTAGGAACAATATAAATCTAGAGTTTGTCATTCCTGGCCAGACTGTTAATGGAAACTTCTAAAATAATTTTTCAGACATCTTAAATGTCTGGACCAATATGAACCAAGGGGGCAGCAAGGGATCTATCATAACAATGCCACTGCATATTATTTGCTAGTTTTAAGCCTCAAATTCGATCATCATGAGAAAACACTATCCTTATTCACCTGATTCATCATGTGACTTGCCTTTTCCCCAAATTTAAGATGGTACTCTAGAGGCAGCATTTGGTTGATATGAAGCCCATAAAAATAGAAACAAAGATGCAGCTGAAGAACCTCAAAATAGAGGACTTCAAGAAGTCTTACAACAGAGGAAACAAAGATGGCACAAGTGTATTGTGTCACAGGGAGAAGTGTTTTAAATGAGACAAAATATCAAATTAATTAATTAAAAGTAATTTTTTATTTCACTTTCATACGAGCTTTCATAACAAACCTCATAAATACACACAAAAAAAAGTAGTAATACATAAATTTAAAAAATCACAAATCAAGACAATACATAAGAATGAATAATGGCCTCTAAAATAAACAGATAAATAAAAACTGATTATTAATAAAATTATAATAATTGTTTAGTGTACATTATTTCACATTGATACTGCCATTGAGGATTTGATTTGATTGGGAATGATTTACCTAACTTCTTCAATCTGAAATTTCCTTTTAGTCTTGTACTGGATATGTTTCAGAACTAATGCATTGTACTTTTCACCAAGAACAGTAAGCTGTGATCTCAAGTTTTCACTTTCACACTGAAATATATGAATAAAATTGTTCTAAAAATATGAAATCAGTAATTTTTATTTTTATAATGGTTTTAATTTTTTAAACAATGTATTTAATTCTTACCAAAATAGACTTTTAACATTTGTTAAAACATAACACCGCAATGAGCCATGATCATAATAAAATCAATAATCTCGTCAATATCAAATAATTTTAACACTATTTTGCCTATCAACTGTATTGACATCCAGTAAAAATTCAATTAAGTAATATAACATTAAACAGAAACTGGTTTCATATAAAAATGGGTAAGATTAATCTTAAGAAAAAAATAGGACATGCAATATTTTCAATTGACACTAGTCATACCAAAATTAAAATGTTATTTTATTAGTTGATCAAATTTTATTTTGTTTTCATTTTCCCTACTCTAGCAGTAGCCAGCTTTCAAATAGCAGTTGACTTCTAAATACTTAAATATTTTACTGAATATTTAATGGTGGACCGTTGCATTATAAAGGAAGGAGATGGTCCGGGGTTGCGGTCATAAAAAGGTTAAATAGTGATAAAACTATTTTATTGAAAGCCAACGTTTCGACCCGACTTTGCAGGTCTTCATCAGGGCTAGAACGGACAAGATACAAAAGATAGAGAATTGTGGAAATTACATAATATTTAGACATAATTTATAAACAATGTGAATAAGCTTATTAGAATTATAAACAGTAAGTACAATACAATATGGACTAAGTAAGCTAAGTAACAAGATCCTAAAATAAAGTAAATAGATGCTAACAATTGTTGTAGTGTAATATAATTGTTGTAGATTCCGAATCTATCCACATTCACATGGAACACAATCCCGTTAATCACATAGTAGACAAAAACTGTATTTCTCTTACATATAGACACATTTTAAGTCTTATAAGGGAAAAATAACATAAATATTCCATTTTATTATTTTCATCTACTCTCAATTTTTATTAATTAATTAATTTAATTGGTCATTATTCTACATATTCCTTCTTTGTATGATCTCTCTTCTATTTTTCTAAATTTACATTTACACTCTACACCAATGTATGACCACCCTATATTTTGTATTTATTTATTTATTTTTTTCTTTTCCCTCTCTATACTTTTAAGTTAGCTCTGCAATGTATGTATGTTAATAAAGTTATTTCTATATTTACATTTTACTCTTTACCAATTTTGGGTGTATTCACTTTGTACTCTGATCTAGAATCATGAAATACCTCTCACATCTCTCAACTCTATTTTACTTGTATATTTATATATTTATAATTTTAATATTTATAGATATAGTATTTTTCCATTATATCCATCCATATCTTCAAAAATTCCTAGGTACTATACATTCCTGGGTTGTTCAATCTTTACTTAGTTAACACATGTTAACTCCCTCTATACCTGCAATCCTTTACTTAGTTAACACATGTTAACCCCCCCCCTATACCTGCAATCCTTACCGCTGCCTTTCGAGTTCTAAGTGAAACTCCTAGAGGAACACACCTGTAAGTCTCTAATCTTATTTTATTTTATTTTATTTATTTATTTATTATTTTTTTTTTTCTCCTGTATTTTTTGTAGAATTATACTCACATTTTCATTTGTTATATATTACACTACAACAATTGTTAGCATCTATTTACTTTATTTTAGGATCTTGTTACTTAGCTTACTTAGTCCATATTGTATTGTACTTACTGTTTATAATTCTAATAAGCTTATTCACATTGTTTATAAGTTATGTCTAAATATTATGTAATTTCCACAATTCTCTATCTTTTGTATCTTGTCCGTTCTAGCCCTGATGAAGACCTGCAAAGTCGGGTCGAAACGTTGGCTTTCAATAAAATAGTTTTATCACTATTTAGCCTTTTTATGACCACAACCCCGGACCATCTCCTTCCTTTAAATATTTTACCAATTTAGGCATCATCAGAAGTGAAAAACACACTCATGCATATCATAGCACAATTTATATCACCAAGCAAATACAAACTAACTAAATAGAGATAGTACATTACTCATTAAAACTACAACATGTATTTATATATTAATATAAGTATAGAATTGTTATAATAATGAGTAAAAGACTAATAACATGTTTTATATATATTAATCAATAACAATAACTAAATAACATGAATTTTATTTTTATAAGTAAGCAAAGGAATTATGAACTTTATGGCTAAATACAAAAATGATTTTGTTTTATATTCATGTAGCCACTTAAAAACAATATTTAAATTTTTTTGCCCATAATGTTACTGCTAAATTGAAAGTAATATTCTGTTATAGATATGGTATTAATTCAATGGCAGTAATAGCAAAGAAACCATGAATACACTATTCATAAAAGGGATGGAAGAAAAACATTGATATTTTATGCATTGAAATATTATATATATCTATATTAATATTTTTTATTTTGGTGTATCCATACATCAATATGAAAATTTGACTTTCAAAAACTGATGTTTAAAAAAGAAATTAAACTAAAAATGTCTACAAGGATAGCCGCCTTATACTGGTTATCACACAAACATGAGATTATTTTTTAAAATTACACTTAAGAAATATTGGTTTATTAATATTATTTTATTTTAGTAATAGTTTTTTGTCTTTAGTTTATAATGAAAGTGTGAATTCGGTTAATAAGTTTCAGTAATTATTAATTTAATTTTGATTTTTCTATGTTAAATTAAATTAAATTTTCTCTGGCTGTTAGCAATATATCTTTTAAATAATAAATGTTAAAATTGTATTGATTTTTATTAATTTATTTAATCTTGATTTTCTTCTATCCTATTTAACTATTCATTTTTATATTTATGCTATTTAATTTATTTTTTGTGTTAATAGTTTTTGAATTGTAATTTCTTGAAACAAGTTTTTATTTTATTTATTGACAAATGTGAACAAATCAATACTTTTTGGTTAATTAAATTAAATTCTAAATACACCATCTTAAAGTAGATTTATTTTTTAGGAATTTTCATGTCTAATAGGGCCGCTGCACAGAGATATGCTGCTCCAGTATGAGTACTGTAACTGCAGCAGTACAGCAGCCGTATTAGGCATTAGGCTTTTATCATCTCATCATAACCTACAAATATTTTATTTACGAAAATTTTCGGGATTGGGGCGTTTTCAACCTGGAGGTCAACAAACTTTGTCTATTTAATTAGGTACTAAAAACTCGCAAATACCCATTTGCTTTCCACTTTAATCGTAAGATAAGTTGAGCACAAAGTCGAGAAAAAATGTGGCCTTCAAAAATATTGAGCAGTTTGGCCTATATAACCTCGTTATTTTGACAATTTGGGGATGTAGGTCACACGAAATATTTTTGAAGGCCACATTTTTTCTCGACTTTGTGCTCAACTTATCTTACGATTAAAGTGGAAAGCAAATGGGTATTTGCGAGTTTTTAGTACCTAATTAAATAGATAAAGTTTGTTGACCTCCAGGTTGAAAACGCCCCAATTCCGAAAATTTTCGTAAATAAAATATTTGTAGGTTATGATGAGATAAAGCAATTTACGAAGTTTCAGCCGGATGTTAATAATTTGATAAAAAGGGGTCTGTCTGTACCGCGGGCTAAATTGCCCAATTTCTAGCAGCAAAGTAGGAAATTTAAGATTTGAGTTTTTTTAAGCAAACACCTTTTTTGTTGAAGCGATAACTTAAAAAAATATTTGATTTAATTATCTAAACATTGCTTCATAGGAAACTAGACAAAATTTACTTTAAACGAAAGTAGGGTTCGTCATTGTTAAAACTATTTAAGGAGGACCATTGGACGTACAAACACAGCTAAGTCCAGTTTAAAACAAATTCATAAATTATTTGTAATTTTTTTTACTTCCTTTTAACTCTACTACATTTACCCCACTTTCAGAAAAACTTCCTCGTTTAATAAGCTATAAGTCCATACCAATGAAGTTGAGGTTTATTTAAAAAAAATGGGATTCACCTACAGCTGTGTAAAAAAATGAAGTGATTTCCTATTCTGACACCTTTAAGTACCCGTGTTTTCTGCAAAAATTACTATATTTAACTGTTATAAAGCTTTTATTTCTTATTTTTTCCGTAATAAACATAATTTCCTAAAAACATATTTATTTTAAAATATATAAAATTTAAAAATAATGATTTTTTAAATACTGTTTGTTTGTTTATGCTTTAAGGCGTAAAACCCCAAGGTCATCAACGCCTGTGAGTCAGTTATGTTTGTAAACTCTTTAGAGGAGAAACAGAAAAAAAAATGAACAATCAAAAATTAATAATAGATAGATATAGTGGTATATGAAAAAGATATTTAAAAACGTATAAAAATGAAATATATTAAAATAGATACAAAAAAAGAACAATAAAATACAAATTATATCTATTTTTATATTTTATTTAATAGTCTATGGATTTTAAGAAATTTTATCACGGTTCCTATGTTTGATTCGTCGTTGTTTAATACTACTGATATATCCGGTTTTAGAGATAATCGATTTAGGCTTGAAGTATAATAAGTGCATTCTTGGAAAATATGGTTGACTGTGAGAAGACTATTGCAATGCTGAGAATTTGGTGGTGGCTGCTTAGTGATAAGATGTACATGGGTTAGGTTCGTGTGTCCTATTCTTAATCTGGCCACAGCGACTTCCTCTCTACGATTAGGGCAGTTTGATGTGATCCAGGGCTTAACTGATTTTTAACAACTTTTAATTTGCTAGGTAGGCTTTCATTCCACATAGACTGCCAACTATCCAATATTTCTTTTTTCAGAGGAAAACTCATTTCTGGAGGGGTCAGGATAGGAGTACCTCGGTCTGGAAGCGCGAGTGCCTGTTTAGCTGCCGCATCCGCAAGCTCATTACCAACTATACCCACGTGATTTGGAACCCATATAAAACAAACCGATTTACCAAAATTTTCCAGAGTGTGAAGATATTTGTGTATTTTATGGATAACCGGATGTTTTGAGTACATATCATTTAAACCC